TATCTTGTGTCACTAATAAAAGTATATAAATTTGCAAAAATTATATGTTGTGAAAATGATTATGGTGCTTAATAGAACCTCTGAGGGTACATTAAATAATTTTCAAATAAATACATAAAGAGAGAGAGAGAGAGAGAGAGAGAGAGAGAGAGAGCATACAATCATGCACACATAAATTCAACAACAAGTGTCCAAAATGTCATAAAAAATCAACATTACTTGAGAGACCAGCTAATGTTCACCTAAACCCTACACCCTTTTTCCTTAACTCAAAAGCAATAGCCCAAATGGTGGACCTTTTATTTTTCCTCCCCCATTTTAATTAATATATCTAATCTAATAAGTGATCATAAAATCAATTTTTTTTTTCAGATTCTCTCTGTCTTGCTTTAATTCCACATTTATTTTCTTAACTAATCATTTTTACTTTAATGGGGTTTGGAGGGTGAAATGAAACCCTCTTGAGTTTTAGACAGTTGCACATTTTTTTTTTTTTAAACTCTAAGAAAATGGGGGAAAAAAAGGCTATTAGGGGAGCTTTGTGGCCATTCTATCTCTTGGCACTTTAGAAAGTGATTAACTTTTTCATCCCTATAATTCCTAAAGTAACTCCATTGTATTAGATTCCTATCAAGCTAAAATATGTGACAATGAAGTCCATGAAGAAATTGATTGATCTTCAAGATATACTAGTGAAGCATATGCATCACAATGGATATTCATGAATCATTATGAATGTTCATGATTTATACTTTGATCTTTCTTGGTGTTATGAAGCAAGAATTTTAGTGAATAAAAAATTGTAAAAGTGTTCTAAAATTTGCTACATTCAAACCAACAATAGAATGAAAAAAAAAAACCTAAAAAGACACTACCTAAGGTGTGTTTGTTTATAATTTTCCGCGTTCAGCCTCAACCCTCAGAACAACTCCAACGCTATTGCGTATTCCGTCAAAATAGCGCAAAAATTGGGCTCCAGTCCCACGCTACAATTTAACGCTATTGCAGATAAATGAACATTGTTGCACCACTTCGAGTGCAACACTGCATCAATACACCAATTTTTTTAGTATATTTTTATGTATATTTAATGTATGATAATGATAATTTTTTGTATAATGTTAATAAATGTATTTTTATCCAAATAACTTTGTGCAATGTATTTTTTATGCTAAATAATTTTATGTTTTTATTTGTTGATGTATTGTAATTTTATATATAAATTTTTAATATTAAAATGGTATCATATGAATAAAAAATTAAGACATTCAAACAAGTAGATTTCATTGAAATTAAAAGTTTACAACAAACGTAAATCATAAAATACACAAATAAAAACAACATAATATTAAAATCAAAAGTTTTCAACACACATAAATCACAAAATGCACAAATAAAAACAACAATAAAATTCAATGCACATAAATCATATAAAATATATTTTTATTATTTGGTTAATAAGCATTTATATAAAATTATTTGAAAAAAAAATATATATATATATTTTTACTATTTGAGTAATAAACATTTACATAAGATTAAATATATATATTATAACAACAATCTATTTGGAAAAAAATAAATAATATATTTGATATAGAGTAAAATGTAGAGATAAGAGCTGGAAAAGAATGTTTAACTTTACTCTAGATTAAAGTAAAATCTACGCTAGAGTAAAGTTAAATGCTGGAGATGAGCTTACACTCTTATTTAATATTTATGCATATGATCTAAA